ACCTCCCACCCCCTTCAACACTCACCTTCATCAATGAAAGCGTAAGTGATTCCCTGCAGTTTCGCAGCAAAGCTTCACATTCAGTCAGTGATTTATTATCTAGTGCAATGCCATTTATCTGCAATGAAAGTATGGCATGTCAACCATGCAAAAGCTAGCAGTGGTCAACACCTTGGCTGGCTGACATTCAATAAAGATAAATGCCAGGCTGCCTCAAGGCAATACCATCATGTGGTATTCACTATGCTCAACTCCTATAAACTGCAAATTAGGTATCAGACACAGGTTTCTTACCGGTATCTGCATATCCACTGTGAGAACAGGATGCTGGGCTACATGGGCCTTCAGGCTGTTCTATGTTCTTAGACTTGGATGATTTATGTTCCCACTCCCTCTAAAGAGCATTACTCCATCCCTTCTCTTGTCTTGTGTTTGCATATGAGGCCTAAACTAAGTATGTCACCTTGGGAACCATGGAAACATTGTGTAACAATGACTGAAACTTGGACAGCGCTGGATTCAAAGCTGGAGCCCCAAACTACAAGCCATGATTTTCAGGAGCCAATATTATCTGTGTCAGACTACATCATCAGAAAAGAAACAAACTGAAAATTTGACAAATGGGGGTTCAACCGTCGAGTTTAAAAAGTCTTGACTTTAGACTGCCCCTCAGATTTATTCTGCAAAGCCTTGGATATATCATGGAACATATAGTATGTCTCTTACTGGCACATAAAATCGTGGTCAAGGAATCTAACTATGTTTTGGTGTGATATCTTAATAGACAAACTATGGCTTGCTGGCAAACAGCAAGCCAAAGCCCAAAACCATAGTTTGAAGTAAGTCTGCAAAACCATGGTTTATGCAAAGTAGGATGTGAAAACCACTGTGTCTCATAGACTGGAGTGCTCAGCAGATGAAATTCTTAAAACAGGCTAGTAACTCTTAAAGCATGCATTGCCTGGATGTTTGGTAGCACAAATCATTATTAGCACAAACTGTAGTTTGTCATAATATCTGAATCTCAGTTCAGATATCTCTATATACTATACCTCAATTCTCAAATGTTGAGCTTAGAAAAACTAAAAATGTGACTTACGGCAATTATTCTATCTCCCACTGCAAGGGATCCCTCTTTGGCCGCTGGGCTACCAGGCACTACAGTAGCAACAATACTCCATTTTCTAGACCAATTCCACTATCTGAAATTGAGAAATAGGTGTATAGGTTACTTTGTTCGTTACTATGGTATATATTTTTGTGTTTTTATATTGTGATAGTTGAATGAAGACGGTATAGAAATTTCACTGGGAATGTGTGAAGCAATACCAAGAATCATCACTGAAATTTAAAAAGTTTATAAGGGAATTACCTTTGTGGCCAGCAAGATTTATGTGGTAGTGGTGTTATCACTTTCCCTCCTAAGGACTTCCCTTCTGCGAACAACCATATTTATAACTCCTCCCGCCGTTAGTACTGCTTTTATTACTTGCTTCTTTCCTTGTGGTAAGGTCCACATCGTTATCTTCAGCAGCCAATCATTCACTCTGATTAATTAGAGCAAAAGGCAAGAAATCAATTTCATTTATCCTACATGTGCTTATAAGCAATGATTATGCCAAGTGAAATGCAGACATTCTAATACCAAGATGATACATCAATATCTTAATTCGTTTCTTGGTTTCAGGAGAATGGTTGGTGATTGCTCTATTTTTGTCATGACATCAATTAAGGATTCCTTAAGGATTGCAGCACCTTGTCACATTCATGCAGACAGAGAGAACATGTCTCATAATTTTTTCTGAATCAGCATTTAGTACAGCTCACATGAAAGTAGGTAATATTTCTGCCAAAAGCTGCACAGATGGAGAATTTCTGGTTTACAGATCAGCTAACAGGGAATCTCAGAAAATTAGAATATCGTGGAAAAGTTCATTGTATTTCAGTAATTCAACTTAAAAGGTGAAACCAATATATGAGATAGACTCATGACATACAAAGCGAGATATGTCAAGCCTTTATTTGTTATAATTGTGATGATTTGGGATACAGCTGAATAAAAACCCCCAATTAACAATCTCCGAAAATTAGAATATTGTGAAAAGTGCAGTAGCTATTCAATCCATAACACCTGCAATGGGTCAGGTAGGGAAGCACAATCATGGGGAGGCTGCTGACCTGACAGTTGTTGCAGAAAGCCATCGAGACCCTCCATAAGGAGGGAAAGCCTCAAACCGGTAATTGCAGAGAAAGTTGGCTGCATTCCAGCAGCCTTGGCAGGAGTGGTGGAGGCATTAACTGAGAAAAGGTTTTGCTCTGTGCAAGGTAATCAGTGGAGAAGCTGAAGGTTACATGCCGCATAGTTCAGTATAGCATGGTGAGCTAGCATGGTAAAGTGCTAGAGGACCTCTCTGTATACTGGCATCTTCACAATGTTAACTTCTAAGACCAGAAAACCTGTATTATACGAGATTAGCTCATGATGGCACCAGCATCTCTTAAAGCAGGGCGTCCCCAAACTGGGACTACAATTCCCACTGGTCTGTTAGCTAGGGATGATGGGAGCTGGTCGTTAGTTTTCTTCATATTGATGTGGTCAATGGTGCTACTCAGAGATGTGTTTGTAATTATAAGATGGCCAGCCAGAATGGGCAGGGTATAAATAATAAATTATTACAGTGGTGCCCCGCAAGACGAAATTAATTCGTTCCGCAATTTTTGTCGTCTAGCGAATTTTTCGTCTTGCGAAGCACGGTTTCCCATAGGAATGCATTGAAAATCAATTAATGCGTTCCTAGGGAAACCGCTTGCCAGGCTGGCGGTGCGGAGAAGGGCTTTTCTCCCACCGCAAGCCTTCAGGACAGGTACGGGAACAGAGGGGAAGGCGCGCAGGCGCTTTCCCTCTGTTCCCGGGCTTGCGTGGGAGGAGGGTTTTCCTCCCCACCGCCAACATTCAGAACAGCATTCTGAATGTTGGCGGTGGGAAGGAAAACCCTTCTCCCACCCCAAGTCTTCAGGACAGCCATCCGAAGGCTGGCGCGGGGAGAAGGTCTCTCCGCCCCCCCCCCACGCCAGGCTTCGGTGCATCCTTCAGAGGCTGCTGCCATAGTCACGCGTCACTTCTCCAGCTGGGAGAGGGTCGCGGGGCTATGGTTTCTTTAGCCCCGCGCGCGCTCTCCCGGCTGAGAGGTGACGGGCGCCTATGGAGGTTCCTGCCATATGCGCGCGTCACAACTCCAGCTGGGAGAGGGTCCGGGGGGCTGGTTTAGCCCCCGCGCGCGCTCTCCTGGCTGGAGAGGTGACGGGCGCCTATGGAGGCTCCTGCCATAGGCGCGCGTCACTTCTCCAGCTGGAGAGGGTCGCGGGGGGCTGGTTTAGCCCCCGCGCGCGCTCTCCCGGCTGGAGAGGTGACGGGCGCCTTGGAGGCTCCTGCCATAGGCGCGCGTCACTTCTCCAGCTGGGAGAGGGTCGCGGGGGGCTGTTTTAGCCCCGCGCGCGCCTCCTGGCTGGAGAGGTGACGGGCGCCTATGGAGGTTCCTATGGAGCTGTTCCTGGAACAGCTTTCCCGAAGTGGGGCGGCTGGGGCAGATGTCCCCGCCCCCCCTCCCCGCTTCGGAACAGCTTTCCGAAGTGGGCGGCTGGGGCAGGTGACCCCGCCCCCCGCCCCACTTCGGAACAGCTGCAAAAGACGTCAGGGGGAAGCGGGGAAGCGAAGCGCTTTCGCTTCCTGCTTCCCCCGGAGCTCTCTGAAGCAAGGGGCTGGGGGAGATCGCTATCTCCCCCCAGCCCCTTGCTTCAGAAGAGGTCCGGGGGAAGCGGGAAGCGAAGCGCTTCGCTTCCCCGCTTCCCCCGACGTCTTTTGCAGCAAGGGGCTGCAGGGAGATCGCTATCTCCCCCCAGCCCCTTGCTTCAGAAGAGGTCCGGGGGAAGCGGGGAAGCGAAGCGCTTCGCTTCCCCGCTTCCCCCGACGTCTTTTGCAGCAAGGGGCTGCAGGGAGATCGCTATCTCCCCCCATCCCCTTGCTTCAGAAGAGGTCCGGGGGAAGCGGGGAAGCGAAGCGCTTCGCTTCCCCGCTTCCCCCGACGTCTTTTGCAGCAAGGGGCTGCAGGGAGATCGCTATCTCCCCCCATCCCCTTGCTTCAGAAGAGGTCCGGGGGAAGCCGGGGAAGCGAAGCGCTTCGCTTCCCCGCTTCCCCCGACGTCTTTTGCAGCAAGGGGCTGCAGGGAGATCGCTATCTCCCCCCAGCCCCTTGCTTCAGAAGAGGTCCGGGGGAAGCGGGGAAGCGAAGCGCTTCGCTTCCCCGCTTCCCCCGACGTCTTTTGGCAGCAAGGGGCTGCAGGGAGATCGCTATCTCCCCCCAGCCCCTTGCTTCAGAAGAGGTCCGGGGGAAGCGGGGAAGCGAAGCGCTTCGCTTCCCCGCTTCCCCCGGACGTCTTTGCAGCAAGGGGCTGCAGGGAGATCGCTATCTCCCCGCAAGCCCCTTGCTTCAAAAGAGAAGACCCGCTGTCCCCGGGGCAAGCTTCGTTTTGCGAAGCAAGCCCATAGGGGAATTCGTCTTGCGAGGCAAAATCGCGGACGAAAAACCTTTCGTCTAGCGAGTTTTTTGTCTTGCGAGGCGTTCGTCTTGCGGGGCACTACTGTACTGGGATGAAAGCAAGCCATGGGATGGAGGATGAGCTTGTTTCCTTGGTCCCATATATATAACTCATTTGCTTTTAAAATATCTGATTGGGATATTTCTATGGGCAGGTGCATCTAGTCCCAGGGTAACCAGCTTGGTGCCCTCCAAAAATTGGACCCCAGCCAGCATAGCCACTGATGAAGGATGGTAAGAGTTGCTGGCTGGGATCCAATGTCTGGAGGGCAGCACACTGGCTGCCCTGATCCTGTATGATCCCAACTCTTTTGATTATTAACTTGCGTGGATCTCTTCTGTTTGCCTGAAAAGAGGCTTTTGTTTTCAGTACTCATGTTCTCTATTTCTTCTTTTTCTGTGAAGTTTCCAGATTGCAACAAATCTAAGTGTAGAGCGCTATGCTCTTGTTTTTGGCGTTAATACATTCATTGCCCTGGTACTGCAGACTCTGCTCACATTGATTGTTGTTGATGCAAAAGGGCTTGGCCTGGACATATTCACACAGGTAAGGCCCATTTTGGCTGGGTGGGGAAAAGAGGGTATACAGCCTTCCTAGTAAAAGCCTTTTGTCTGCCTCAGGGCGTGAGAGGTCATTCTGGTTGCAACAATTTTTCATTGGGGGGTGGATAGTGCCTTGTCCTATGCTTGCTGAGGGGGAAGAGGTTTCCTTCATACACCCCATTTTCTAATACATGTTGGGAATGCTTATCTGTCTTAATGAGTTGCCGGGAGATAAAACCATTGCACATGTTTTGCTTGAAATGGAAGCTTCTCTCGGGCTTGGCTTGAAGACTGCTTCCTATTTAGATATACCTAATAAATGCATTGACAAAAATGGGTGGTGAGTGTAAAATCAAGCACAAAATGTGATTCTTACTCATTGTAATAAAATGATGGCTCAGACAGCCTGCCATCTTAGTGCCTGAGACATAAAATCCCAATAGTGACTGCCAACCTCCCATTGTGCTGAAGATAGCACTAATTATTGGCTTTTTACTGCCCTATGATGTGCAACATTACCTTACCAGCCGTCTTACCCTTCCTAATGGTAGGACTGGCCCTGATTTAGGTTAGTGAACTTTGCTTCTCAGTTCACCACTCTCTTCTCTTTTTGTTCCCTGCAGTTCATGATCTATGCCGGCTACTTTGCTGCCATAGCAGTAGTGTTCTTGATCAGTGGGACATGCAGTATTATCAGGAAATCCTGGAAGAAGGAGAGGAGAAATGAAGCAACAACAGATGGTGCTTAAAATGAAGAATATGGACTTGTTAAGCCCCTGTGTTAGGGAAGGGGGGATCTATTTAAATATGCTGGTTCCTATTTATTAATGTATCCAAATGCTGTTAATTCAAGACTGTTACCTAAATTGTCCTTGATACATGTTTGTACTATATTAGTAGCATAAATTAGGAACAGATTTATTTACTTATATCTTACGTAAGTAAGAATTTTATATGCAACACATTGGTCTTGGATAATGCCTTTAGGTCAAAACTGCATAACTAGAGATGGTCAGAAGCATCCTTGAGATTTACTGATTGCTTCCTGAAACAGGCAAGTCCCATAAATCAGCCATTGAAGTGAAGGTGTTGTTGAAACTAGCCCAGTTCATGCAGTTACAGGGGTCTTGGTAGGCTGGGTTTTGCAGGTATAGAAGAAATATTAAGGCAGTGAGGTATACCAAAAGTAGTCTTAAGTCAAGTTGGACATAGCAGAAAGAACTCTCCCAAGGCTGGTAGATGCGAACTCATGAATATTGAATAGACTTATCATATACATGTGCAAACACATATCACAATGTAGTAGGTCATGTCTTGTCTGCCTTTTGATATTTCTATAGGCTCAGCTTCCTTTGATTACCCTTGCTCAGCAAGGTTAAATAGATGGATTATCCTGCCGACCTCATGTCAGTTATACATCTTCATTCATAAATAATATAGGGCACAGAGAGCACGTGATGAAAATTTGGCTTGGTTTGGCATCCTTAAAACCTCAGTTACCCCTTGATTCCCTGTAAGCTTTCTTCAACTCCACAGTAGATTTTCATGACATCTGGGAGAATGAACTCTCACAACAGTAACGTTATTTTGCTTAACTCATTCAGATAATTGAAACCTCCTTGATTAGCATTTCCCTCTATTGCTAATATGTTTTCCAGTGGTGACCAAATGCGTTTGACTGGATGAAATCTCATCCTCAAGAATTTAGAATCTCTGATTCTATTCCTCCATTGTAGGATGGATGTGGAATGGGATTACACTGCAAGAGTGTTTACATGGTTTGTGTTTGTAAACACTATGGGGAACAGGGATGCTGCTAAATTACATGTTCTATTTCCTCTTCCCTTCCATATCCACTTACTTTGGCCACAGTTACTTCCTGTGGCTTGCAAAATAATTGCAAATGAGAGGGTTGAATGAATTAGTAACAAGGAGCATTTGCCTCAGGATTGCAGAGTTGTTTCCTGGCAAGCTGCTAAGGATGTTAGACCAGCCCAAATAATGAAGCTGTTGTCTGTGGTACATACTTTAACATGAAAAGCATTTCTATGTAACTTAAAAGCCATAAGTAGGTTTTACACCTGAAGACTGCACATTTTCTTTAGCTGTGTATACAGACTTTGGGAGGCCAATGCTAGTTGTGTTTCCTAATTCATGTAAATCAAGCAGACATGTGGTGTGGTTGTATGTTCAAGATAGAAGTACTCTGCAAGGAGGAAAACCAGTGTGTGAAGTATGAGTCCTGTCCATTCTAGGTATCCAGTACTTGTTCATCTAGTGCTCTCTTTGCCACATTAAAATCCAAATGAGGAAAATGGAAAGAAAGGATGGATATTACTCCTGAATTTACAGTACTGAGCCTGGAAATCATATGAGATTTAGCTTTTATATAATATGTGAAGCATACCATTTTCCCTAACGTTCAGAGAGCTTGAACTTGGATTTTAATTTTAAATGTGTTTTTCAACGGATTGAAGGTTCAGGAACTAACTCATCAAAAATAGCCAAATATATTTGCAGTTGCTTTTGTGGTGAGATCCACCTGCAGGTCTGGCTTCTAAACCAATTTCTAGGTACAAATTGCCAGGACTAATATTTCTTAGTAACAAGGCCATCCATCCATCCATCATTCCATCCATCATAAGGTAATTGTAACAGTTTACTCAAGTTGATGAGGAAATAGCCATGTGAATCCTAGATTCCTTTAAACATACACTTGAAAACATTGATAACAGGAACAGGTGAGAATCTACACCCATTCAGAAGCTTGGGAGAGAAGTGTTGGGTAACCAAAAGAGGAAGCTGGACCTATAATCAAGCAGCAAATTCTTATTGCCTCTGGACCAAGATGTGACATTTCATGAATGTAATTAACATGCATTAATATATATATATATAAATAAGCACTGAGGTTAGGCCTGAGCAGCTTTGGGACTGGGGGTCTGTGAAGAGGGAGTTTTAACTCTTGCTCCTATTGCTGGATTCCTAATAAAAATTACTTTTATTTGCATTTCAAGGGAAACTTCCCTTGGTGTCAAGGGGAACTTCTGTGGTATGCAAACAGCATCTTCTGAGAGGTGTTTTTTGTTGTGACTTACAGGGAGAGAGTTAAACTCTAGGCTTCCCTTCATCTGCTACTTGCACTGCAAATGTGAATGTTAATGGAAAGCGCACAACTCTAGATTAGCCTTCTGTGTTCCTTCTGGGAGGAACTGAAATACGTAACTAGAAGACCTCATCTCTGGATAAATCTGTTAAATATAATGTAGATGACCAAGATGTCTTCCTTGCCTAAGAGTTGCCTTGTAGTAATTTGCATAACTGGTTATGCAGCACTAATCCAGTCTGATGAATGTAAGCTTAGAGATGGCTCCAGGTTCTCTTGCATTGTTGTAATGGTATTGGAATAGGAAAACACTACTCTAGCCAAGTGGCAAACCTATTTTTTAAATCAAATAAAATTATTTTATGATATTCTTTAAAGTTTGCTTGTTATTAATAGTGCAATGCTATAATTATATTAAATGATCTTAACAAGAGTGCTTACAATTTCATGAGAAAATCCAGCTCCCAAATTTTGCTAGCAGAATAAATCAAACACACTTCTCTGTAGCTTAAGAAAATATATATAAAGTGGTATCTCAGGTTAAGTACTTAATTCGTTCCGGAGATCTGTTCTTAACCTGAAACTGTTCTTAACCTGAAGCACCACTTTAGCTAATGGGGCCTCCCGCTGCCTCTGCGCCGCCGGAGCATGATTTCTGTTCTCATCCTGAAGCAAAGTTCTTAACTCGAGGTACTATTTCTGGGTTAGCGGAGTCTGTAACTGTATGTAACCTGAAGCATATGTAACCCGAGGTACCACAGTACACTGTTTTCAACCAGTGTACTGTGGCAACCTGGGGTGCCTTGAATGATGTGTTGCTGCGGGCCATACTAGCCTCTGTCCCTCTTTCCTTCGGCTGGAAATCGAACGCTGCAAACCCGGAAGTAGGTATCTGGTATGCAAACTTTTTTCAGAATCCGAACTGTTCTGTTTGAGTGTTACACTTCCTTTTTCGGTGCCACACTTCCGTTTTGAGTGTCCCTGCTCCTGCTTCCCTGCTTCCACGGGAGTAGGAGCTCGATCGGGCTGCTCAGCTGGGGAGGTGCAGGCTCCCTCACACTTGGCATTTAGGGGTCCATGGCTGGGGGCTCCTTTAAACCTCTCCCTTGAGGGGAGCATCAGAGCCTCTGCACCACCTGAAGGCAGCCAAGCGGAATAGTTGCTGGGGTAGCGAAGGTGGAGGCAGCCCGGCAGCTGCATCTGAGAGCCCCTAAACTGCCACTGAGGCAGCTGTTGGGCTGTCTCCACATTGTACGCACCCCTCAAAGGAAAAGTGTGACGGTGCCTGCACCTCTCCAGCTGAGCAGCCCCAATCCAGCTCCTACTCTCGTGCAAGCGGGGGGGGGACGACGACGTGGAGATCTCTCAGTTGGGAAGCGGAGGCTTTGTGCTCCCCAGCTGTCATTCAAAATTAAAACTGAAACTATCCACAAAACCTCAAAGCCAACAAACTTGCAACTCTTGAAAAAGCAGCAATGCAACAAATTGAAAAAAGCAATCGAATCGCAAATGAATCAAAATCCCAAGAAAACATAAAACACTGACCCTAACTCTAACGATAACCCAATCCTAAAATTAACCCTAACCCAGAAATGATCTTGTTAGATAGTAAAATTGCTGTTTTAGGGATTGTTTTTAAAAGTATGGAACGGTTTAATCCATTTTGCATTACTTTCTATGGGAAAGCGCACCTTGGTTTTAGAATGCTTTGGTTTTAGAAGAGACTTCAGAAACGGATTAAGATTGGGAATCAAGGTACAACTGTAGATGAATCAGAAGTACCAAAATACATCCATCCATCCACACCGCTATTCGTTATGGGTGTCTGCTTCCCAATAGGTTCTAAAGGCAGTTTACAAGATCCTTTTTTAAAAAACAAAAAACGCACAAAAGTTAATAGCGGTAGTCCTAGAATAAGCGTAATCCACAATCTGAGATCATTCCATTTAAATTCGAAAGTAAAAAATGCACTCAAGATTACTTTTTCATAAACGGGTGTTAAATACACTATAGCATCCTGGGCGCAGATAAGTATCCCAAGTGTAATAAATGTGCTTTTTTACTCCCCGATGCCATGAGGGAAGGAGGTCGAGAGGCCACTAGCCCTCATTAAACGACCTTGAAGCTGACCGGTAAAATGCCTTCCTTGCCAAGTTACCACATATAACCTCAGCTTAGCGGAGCAGGCAGGCAGGCAGGGGCGGATTTCCCGCCCTGCGTGACGTTTCGCGGCGTCTCCATGGCGACGGCAAAGGGCCGCGGCGGGAAGCCCCGCGTTTGTCCTCCCGCCGGCTCGCCGTGCCTGCGGTGGCTATGGAGACGGCGAGCGTGGTGGGCGGCGCGTGAGAGGCCGCGTGTGGACCTTCGCAGCCGCCGTCGTCCTCCGCTTTGGTGAGTGGCGTGGGGAGGGGAAGTCTCGGCGGCATGACGGGCCGCCGGGGGGGGCGCAGCGGTTACCATGACAACGCCATGGAGGGCGGGTCGCGGCCCGGCGCCGTCCACAGGTGGAGATGAACGACGGGAGGGCGAGGGCCGAGGGGGGTCTCGTCGAGGCGGACTCCGGTCTACGGCCAGCAGCCTGTCAGAGCCTGGGCTCGGGGGGCAGGGCGCGGACCCGTCCGAAGCGCCCCCCTTGGCGGGTTGTCCCGGCCAGGAGGGGCGAGGGAGGGTCGGGCAGCCGCTCTCCGCCGACGGAGCCGAAGGGACGGCGGGGAAAGGCAGGAGGGCGGGGCTTGAGCGCCTCCTCCGGCCCCGTGGTTTCGGCAGAGAGCGGGCCTCGCCCTGGGGTGGGCGGGGAGGCGGCTGCCATGGCGACGGGCGTAAATCGCTTCAGGTGCTCGGGAAACCTCGGCGTCCGAACAGGCAGGTTTCGCCTCGGGAGGGGCCTCGATCTTCCTCATCAAGTGGCCGCCCCAAGGCTTGATTTGGATCCTCCGACTGGATCCGGAAAGTTGGTCGGAGGCTGCTTTGCAGGCGATACCTTCATCGCCTGGCCCGGCAGATTTGCATTGTAAGAATGGGATGGTGCTTGGCCAGTTTTTCTTGATGGATCAACGCTCCGCTGCTTACCTTGCAATATGTCCTGTTGAGCTTAGTGGAATTTATTTCTGAGTAGGCATGCATAAAAGGTAAAGGGACCCCTGACCATTAGGTCCAGTCGTGGCCGACTCTGGGGTTGCGGCGCTCATCTCGCTTTATTGGCCAAGGGAGCCGGCGTACAGCTTCCGGGTCATATGGCCAGCATGACTAAGCCGCTTCTGGCGAACCAGAGCAGCGCATGGAAACACCGTTTACCTTCCCGCTGGAGCAGTACCTATTTATCTACTTGCACTTTAACATGCTTTCGAACTGCTAGGTTGGCAGGAGCAGGGACCGAGCAACGGGAGCTCACCCTGTCGCATGCATAGGATTGTGCTTTTAGTTTATCAGTAATCAGGTTAATGTGACACTTACTAAATAACAACCCGAGTTGGTGACAATTTTTTAAATTTTTGTTGTGAACACGTGTCTGGCTATCAGAGGGTGTTTCATGCATTTCTCTGCCAATATGCATAAGTAGCAATTTAGTGTTGATACACATTCAACATTCGTTAACTGCAACATAAAAGAAAAGTGAATAATCTTGTAATTGGAAACATGATTAGTACAGAACAGGAACTATATAGTTCAGGCAGTATTTCTTGTATCTAGGACTCTCAAGGAAACTTCCTATAAGTTATTTGATCCAATCTTGCAGGCCAATGGCATTTTGTACAAGCTACAAAAAGCTGGGTGACTGTAGGACCGTTTGGTGGTCATGAAATTTGGGTAAAAAAGCAGACATGGTCCGACAGTCAGTAAAGCTATTGAATTACAGCTGAGAAATAATCGGGTTCAAGTCATGAAAATATTCTGCAAGATTGCCTGCTTAGAGTCATTAAAGTGTGCATATTCTAAAACACTTAGTTTCTTTGTAATGAAACACTTCATATATTTTTTCAATTTGTAGCTTTCCATTAAGGAACATCCACAATGAGTGACAAAAAAGACACTAGTGAATCTTCAGATACTGGAGGTCCCACAGATGGTGGGGACTACGAAGATGATTTTGAAAAAGATCTTGAATGGCTAATTAATGAAGAAGAAAAACAAATCTCTAATGATATACAGGTATTAGCAAAATACTACATTAGTCTTGTGCCAGTATCTCAGTTCCATATGAAATGTGCTGATGTAAATAGATAGACTGGAGTGAGAGGACATTTATGGTTCTTAAAATATTGTTGGGTATAGGCTGAGATCCAGGGAACTTAGACCTTCGAGATCAAGCCAGTACCAACTTTCAGAAACATCTGGGGTGACCTCATCTGGCATTAATGGTACAAGAGGAGATAATTCCTTGTGTGCACCCAGAAGTGTGTGTTGGAATGAAGAGATTCTTTGGTTTGCAGTCTCGGGCTGCAGTCCTAAATAATAGTGAGTAGACTCTGTTAAACGCAGTGTAAACATGCATAGGATTGCACTGTTTAAAACTTTTTTAAAAACAGGCAATCTAATATTTTATTGAGATAACATATATATATACTTGGGTAAAAATGGTCACTTTTAAAGGAGGATACAGTTGTATCTCAGCTCCTGAACGTCTTGGGGGTCGAACGTTCCGGTTCCGGACAATCAAAAAGCAGGTGCTTCCTGCAACCATTCAACTTGCGCTTTGAAGTCGAACGTTTCAGAAGTCAGACGGACTTCTGGAACGGATTCTGTTTGACTTCCAAGGTACGACTGTAATTGACTTGGAATAACTCAGCACAGTTGAGTGAGGAATGGAACCTGGGCTTCCTACATCGAAGCTCAGCTTCTCAGTCATTGCACCTCACTGGCTATTCTTCTAGAATTTTGTTTATACACATTTTGAACTTAAGCTATTAAGTTTTTATTTAGTTACAACGAAAAGGAAATTTGCCTTGGGAACTGTGTGAATTGGCTCCAGGCACATAGTAAGCTGCTTTATACAGTTCGGTAATGTCCATCTCACTGGCAGTGGCTCTCAGGGTTTTAAAGGGGACATGCTTGGAGATGCTGGGGATTGAAGCTGGGATCTTCTGCATACAACACAGATGCTCTACCCCCAAGATACAACCCTTCTCCCATATTCTTAAATATAATTGTTAATGGCACACTGGTTGTATGTGCAGATTATAATAAACCATAGTTATGCAACATGAGCAAAAGAAGTGAGTTGCGGTCAGCTTCAAGCTCATACCCCTCCTGCCAGAGAGGAGGAATTTGAATGTTTTGCTTCTGGTTCTGCTTGACACTGGTTTGTTGTTGGACTGACAAACTGTGTTTACTTTTAGCTCTGATTAGTTTCAAACAAGCCAATTTCAAACGATAGTTACCAAAGCTGACTTGTTTAACACTATTTAAGATTAACCACATTTTTTAGGTCCAGATGATACAGCAAGTTTGGTTAATCGAAAGTGGAAGTGAATTATTCCAAATTCCTTCCTGCATGGGATAAAGAGAGGAAGTATGTGGAGTAAGTCAGAGAGGAGACTAGGCTTGTTCATTTTATAAAGTGGAGTTTAGCATGACATTTGAAGACAGTCATTTTATGTGTGCTTCCCATTACATACTAACATAAATAGGTACTTTGAATTTCTTTGTAGAATCATGATGAAAATGAAGGTGTTGACAAAGACTTAGAATGTATAGAAGATAGAATAAATTCTCCACAAGAATATTTTGAAGGTGATGAAGTGGGAGAACATCCTTCACAAGAGCCTCCTGAGCCTGAGGAAGTTCTGGATGAGAAGTCACAAAATGAAATTTATTCAATACTTGAACTTGATCCTAAGCAGTTGGAGCAAACATCTGATTCTGACAGTGAAGGTTCTTGTCAGGAATCAAAGCTAGAAGACCAGGAGGATGATGATGAAGATATAAAGCGGTACATCTTAGAAAAAATTGAGGAAGCCAACAAACTACTTCTATCTCAGGAACCTTTAGATGAAACGAAAGAAAGGAAACTAAAGTTCAAGGATGATCTAGTAGATCTTGAAATCCCCTCTTTGAAAGCTTTAGAAACTGAAAAAAATGATTCCCACAGGAACATTTCAGGCAGACTGTCTCAATTGCACATTTGTAATGGAGCAGGAAGGGAGGATATTTCTCTTTCTATTAATGGTGCTACAGATGATGAGCACAAGGATGGCAAGATTCTAGTAGAAAGAGATGGGAAATTTGAACTCCTCAGTATCCATGACATTGAGAGCCAAGGCTTCTTTCCTCCACTAAGTGTTTCTTTTAGTGACATTGAAGCTCAACACATTTCTCCTAAAACCTCCTACAGTACTGCTTTTAGCCCTGTCTGTATAACAAAGGAAGACTCCTTAGGACAAACATCTGTGACCAGAGAAGGCTGCATTCGTGTCCCTCAACCACCACCCATTCGGCCATGCTCAGCAATCAACATTACAAGAAACACAGAAAGGGGGAAAAGTCCACGAAGGGTGCAGTCAGCAAATGTGAGTCTCGGTGCAAGAAGCTCTACATACTGCCTGTCACCCAGGCAAAAAGAACTGCAAAAGCAAATGGAACAAAGAAAAGAGAAATTAAAGAAAGAGGTGAGAGTACAAAGGAAATGAGAAGATCAGTGCACTGTAATTGGGTCTTGTTTTAGACCCATCCCTCCACGACTCTCCTCTACAGTAAGCCCTTGGCTCTACAATTATGGAACAAGCTGCCTGTGCATATATGCAAGTGCACATCACTTTGCTTTCAGAAAGAGGAGCATTAACTACCTTTTAAAAATCACACTTTTAGGTATTAGTGCTGCTTTTAGCATAATAATGTAAAATTGGGGTGGGGGTGGGGTGATTGGGGTTCTAGCCTAGCAGTCGGTTTTCAGATCTAGCAGGTAGATCTGAAATGCCCACAAGCCATTCACGAAGGCAATAAGCTACCCCCATAGATTATTCCCATTTCAGCTAATATTCAGAGATACACTGCTTTTGAATATGAAATTCCCTGCAGCTGTCATGGCTAATAGCCTTTAATGAGAACTGCCAATTCCACTTTTAATACCATCTAAGCTAAAGGTAAAGGGACCCCTGACCATTAAGTCCAGTCGTGACCGACTCTGGGTTGCGGCGCTCATCTCGCTCTATAGGCCGAGGGAGCCGGTGTTTGTCTGCAGACAGCTTCCAGGTCATGTGGCCAGCATGACTAAGCCGCTTCTGGCTAACCAGAGCAGCGCATGGAAACACCGTTTACCTTCTCGCTGGAGCGGTACCTATTTATCTACTTGCACTTTGATGTGCTTTCGAACTGCTAGGTTGGCAGGAGCTGGGACCAAGGAACGGGAGCTCACCCCGTCACGGGGATTCGAACCGCCGACCTTCTGATCAGCAAGTCCTAGGCTCTGTGGTTTAACCCACAGTGCCACCCGCGTCCCGTCATCATCTAAGCTAGTTGCCATCAATTCATCTTTAGGAATAATTAAGTGTTGTATACTGTATTTGCTTTCAGTGTAAGAATGTATGTATGTATGTATCTTTAAGGCAGAGGGCACCAACCTTTTTGGGCCACTGGGTACACTGGGAAATTTGAGGGAGTTCTGAGAGTACCAGTCACAAAATGACTGCTGTGGAGGTTTGGCATACCACAAAATGGTTGCCGCATCTAAAAGAATGGAAAAAGAGATGGGCACTTAACTGTACCATTTTGTGGTCCTGGTAGCCACTATCATCATTGTAAAAAGACACCTATATCAGTCACCATCATGCTCACTCCTTGCACCTCTGCTCTATTCAAAATGGGAGGATGGGTGTCCAGTTTTAGCATTTAATAAAACATGGGCATGTTTAGAGGTAGGTGTGTGTGTGATGTAGGGGAGGCTGAGCCAGTGCAAACAGGAGCTGAGCAGGAAGAGCAAACAGTAACTCACACACTTCGGATTTTTTAGGGGACATATACTGAGATCTTTGGTGCTAATGCCCATGGGCACTATGTTGGCAACCCCTTCTATAAGGAGATAGGTTTTTACCCACTTTCAATAGAATTACATTTTGCTCCTTAAAAAGTCCTGTAGGAAAGATTTGTATGACTTGAAGAGAAATCTGAAGTAGATACGGTGTTTTGCATATCCACATCTTGCTTACCTGTATCTCTTCCACCTAAAACCACTAGCCTTTATCATTAAAGCATTGCTCAGATGCAGTTCCCCTTATTGTTGGTTTTGTGCTGTGGTTTGAAATTGGAAATGGGGAACGGGAAGTTCTTATAAAGAGGTGCCAAGTAATATGTGACTTCACTGCAGCTGTCTCTAAACTTGAAATTCTACTGCTTTTTTGATCCTTCTAGTATTTTTAGACACAAATAATGATCATTACCGTCCCCACCTAGCTTGCAGATGTGTAAATGCAGCACCAAAAAATCATTCTATTCACCTTAATGTTCTTACTATCTCTCAGACACATTGATAACATTGTTGCATTGTAACCTCTGGAACACATTACTATCATCACTCTGTATTCATGCTCCGGTTCTTTTCAGGATGGTCTAGAATAATTTCAAACACCTTTTACTACCGCTGCTTGAAGAATTGTTGAATTTTTGAATTGGGTGGGATTGTTGAAAAGTTCACATTCTTTGTTCACATTTTAATGTAAGGAAGAAATTCGGAAAAGAATACAGGAGGAGGAGAAAAGGAGAGAGAATGACATGGTCTTCAGAGCTTGGCTGCAGAAGAAAAAAGGGCAGCTGCAGGAAGAGAGGCGAATTCAGAGGGCAAAACAGCTGGAAGACTTGAATAGCAGAGTAAGTTTCCCCATGCCTGCTGCAGCCTGTTTTAGTTCTAAAAAGTTGAAACGAAGAAAAACCCAATCTGCCTGTCAAGGATTGACAGCAATCTCATCTTCTATTTCCAGAACTGTAGCTGCAAGCAGGTATACGGCCATGACAATTTTAGGACCACTTGCCTACAGTCAATATAATTATCAGTTATTTAGAAACCCATTTGCTATGCTGTCAAGCATCTGCAACTCTTTTTGTGGCAGTTGTGGTATTTGCATGCTACCTTTTAATTAAATTTAATATGGCAGTTTCCCCCCTAAGCAGATGTTTGTGTCTGGTGTAGGCATCCATTGGAGACTACTTACCTATGTCATGACACATTTATTTGCTTTTATCAAACGTATTTAATGTCTGGTATAACTATGCAGAAGGCATAGAAAATAAGGCGGCCTTATTTGTCTTTGGCTCTTGGGATGGTGGTAGTAAAGAGTAAGGAGTGTGCAAGACCTTTTATATATCCAAATAATAATGATGATGATGATGATGATGTCAGTTACTTCAGACTTTTTATGGCAGCTGCATTTAGCCCTTATTGTACAGGAATATTGTTCTTACTCTAACTGGAAAATTCTTGGTGAACTAAAGGATGGGATATGAGAATTTATAAATTCTAATATCAAACATCTCATACTAAAATCATTGTGTTACTGAGCAAAGCAAATCACTTGATAGGCAAATCTGAGGCTTGATTCCAAAAAACAGCATCCTTTTGTGACTGACCAGCTTGAAAACTGAGTTACATCTAGTTTTTTCTCAGGTTGTGAAGTTTTTCTGATGTTAAGGTTCAGACATCCACTGCAGGTAAGTAATATTGTTTCCTCCAAAGTGTATGTGTATATATTGGAATATATATATATTTATATAGTCTTTAGTGTATCTAGCCATTTCTGGAAAGCTGGTATGCTGCCATGAGTCTTAGCTTCAATATGTGTGAATCTGAATGCCTTCTAGATGCATTTTTGTGGATTATCAAGCAACTATGCCTCCTCAAAATATATACTGAATACAGTCATACCTTGGATCCCAAAAGCCTTGGTACTCAAGACGTTTTGGCTTCTGAACACCACAAACCCGGAAGTGAGTGTTCTGGTTTGCGAACATTCTTTGGAACCCGGACATCCGATGAAGCTTCCGTGGCTTCTGATTGGCTTCAGGAGCTTCTTTCACCCAATCAGAAGCTGTGTTTTGGTTTCTGTACGTTTTGGAAGTCGAACGGACTTCTGGAATGGATTCCGTTCAACTTCCAAGGTGTGACTGTAACTGGAAAGTGGTGTAAAATGCTCACATTAGCATTGTAAACAAGTTGCTCATATTTGATTTATTTGGAGTAGATCTCTGGGGAGTTTATTTTTCTTTTGAAGCAGGAAAGCAGAAATCCAGAAGCAGCTTACAAGTCGTGGCTTAGAAAAAAGCAGATAGAACACATGAAAGAAAAACAGATACAGAACCTGAAAGAGCAGGAAGAATGCATGTTTTTCCTCCCAAGAACAGCGGAAAGTGACAACGCTTATAAACAGTAAGTTGTTCAGTGTTTTGTTTGTCCTGTTACTGCCTAACAGGAACAATTCCATCTCACTTTTTATCAACTTAATTTGGATTGTTTCCCTAGGAAGCAGAAGATGACAGCCTTTTGCCCTCATTCAGAAGTGTCTTCCCTCACTCTACAGTTTTCTTCACCCCCTAGAGCCCATGTATTTTCTGAGGAGCATCCTCCTGCTAAAGAGCAGTGCTGCTCTCTTAACATCAGCATTACAGCTGCTTACTAGGGTGGTACATGGGCTGGGTCACTGTGAGGATGTGGCTGCACAGGCACACCAGCAGAGTATATGGTCATGTTGGGAAGGTGCCTATGCAGCTGTACCTGCTGCTAAGACAGCAGGATATAGCACTAGAACAAGTAGTGAGGGTAATGCTGAATTGCCAAGAGCCAAAATTTTAGAAAATTGAGACTGCTCCCAAACTGGTCTAAAGCGGGCTGTGGAATATCATATAATTACATTTCACTGCCCTCTTTAATTCATGATGAACTTAATTCTTATAACAGGAACTTCAAAAATGCATATTAGCCATCAAGCGTTATTATCTAGTCAAAAGCACTTGTGGTCCACCTAGTATTCAGTGTTCTTATAGCGCTACAAACTATCCTCTGATGCTGTGTTCTATTCTGGAGAGTGTGCTGTTTTTGCTAAGGATAAAGTAGGTGACCTGGTTTAAGTAAACCTGGAAGAAGTAATCAAATTAAGCTTGGACCACTTCATTTTCAGTTTTTCAAAATAATTTCTCTGCAGATGGCTAAAAAGGAAGAGACGGGAGAGGCGAGAAGAGCAAATGGCTGCCAAAGAGCGAGCAAGGCAGCTTAGGCAGGAAGCCAGAAGAGCAAAACAAATAGAGAATATTCTCTGTTCAATTTCTGAACCAAAATCTCTTCGCTTCACGGACCAGTACAGCTGAGATTTAGAGTCACCGGATGCCTCCAGTATGACTCTCACAGTACCTTGTATAGCTTGCTCCTGAAAGCAGCTTCTTCTGGGATGTTTCATAGTCCTTCAATAACGGCTTAATTTTCTCAATCTTACTAATCTCTCCCCCTCTTAAACTTGGAATAAGTCTCTATTTGTGAATGGGTTGGGGTGGTGTTCTTAGTTCTACAAAGCAAAAAACAGAATAAATGCCCATATGGCAATTGTGGTGTAAATCCTTTTTAAATAGCTTGCCTTGGGGACCAGTGTTATCTTCATACCAAGTATTTTGTGTAAAAGCTACACTTAAACTACTGTCACAGCTGATGGCAATGTGCTAGCACATAGCACTAAGGACTTTACCAACATCTAGTTGGCACTTACTCCTGGACATTGCAGTTTCAAAGTTCTGTCCTAATGTTCTTCCCTGTTATACTGATCCTGAATAGGTAGTGGAGGGGACAGTGTGAAAATAACAACTGAAACTTAATGGTATTCACCATTTCTTCAAGTACTGTTTGCTCATTTGGGGGTACTGACTGTGCCTAAGAAATCTCATCCTTTCCTAGCACAGAACCAATGGAAACAAGCACAGACTAATTACTGCATTGGTGAAGGTAGGTAAATGTTAGAGAATGGTTCTTGTGCTCAGAACACAACTAGTAAAGTGCAAGGTGCTCTGATACTGTCCTACATCATTCTTATGTTTTTGTCAATTTGTTCTCACCCATACAGTATGCATTTGAAGATAAACATTTGTTTGCTATTGCAAAAACAGCACACATAATCATGCATTCTTAATTTTAATTGTCAAGTTACTTAGCAAAGGTTGTTCACATATACCAGCTTTGGAAGAGGTAGAAAATTCCCCCTGCAAAATATGCAGCTAACATTTATTGTAAAATTGTCAAGATCAGAGTAGGCCAAAACTGTGGCATGTCTCAATCCATACATTCCATTAACCAAACATAGATTGTTGCATGCAGACACAGAGCAGGTACATCTGCTTAGTATTTCAGTGTAATACGAAAACGTTAGAAATGCGATTGTCCCAGAAATGAAAGGAAAAGCCTCTTCCTTTACATATAGCAGTAGACCCTTTTTACCTATTTCCAAATTAAAAGATGAGAAAGGAATCCTCAAGGCTTATTTCCCTAAAAGTACAGGTAGAAGAGCAGTTCTGTCACATATAGCACCAATGAAATATGTCCTTATATAAGGTCCACCAGGAATACTTATAGGCTGCAAAAGCTGGTTCAGTAGAGATACATAATCCACTGAGAATCACCTCCAATAGTTTGACCTAGAAGCTTGTTGCTACTCTTTGGCTTCAATTTTTGTGCATGCCAGAATTCATTTTGCCTCAATAACCAAATTCATTCAAGATCAGTTTCTATCATAGTAAGAATGCTGAACTCTCACATTTTCACCTGCTATGTAACAATTGCTATAATAGCGCTAGAAACAGGTTCTAAAAGATACTGAAGCACAGCACTCACTATCATTCTAAATTAAAATAAATACTTAAACTAGTTATCTGAACTTCTTCACAGAAATAAAATCCAAATGCTTGAGGCTGGTAGGGTTTCTATAATACTCCCCTTCAGCCTTCACTTGAAAAAAAGTTTGCATGTCAATTCTGTTTAAGGGCCTATGCACACACTGTTCTAACATTTTCTTATCTGCCTTGGAGAACAGCTTGTGTTGCTCTTATTGCATTATGATCCCAGCCTGATAAAAAAAAGTTTGATAAAAGAACTCTTAGTGGTCGGAAAGCTGTGTGACAAGTATATTTCTAGCACAAGCCCACCCTACCTGAAAAAAGCATAGAAAAGTGAATACTGATCACTAAGAAAGTTAGCATATTCAGAGACAACATCTCTGGCTATTAGGCATAGTGTCTTTCTTTTTTTAAAGCACTATCAATTCTCCCTGGCAGTGATTGCAGCAGTTGAAAGTTATGTTCTCATATCTAGTGTATGGGTGAAACCGTCCAATATTCTTCCTTGGGGAAAGGAAAGAGGATGGTGAAGGCTCAGAAAAAGGAAGTTCTGGAGATGCTTCTGTACAAGTGCCGGGATCCAGCATTCTCAGAACCTGCAAGAAAATAATCATTATGTTATGGTGAAAGTCCTGGAGCATTGCATTTTACATGATGAGCTTCTGAACGCCTTACTATTAAGCAAACCCTTACCCACTTCATTCACAACAGTAAAGGTAGGATGGGGCAATGTTTTTATCTCCAACACTGTTCTGGGCTGGGGGAGAACTGCTGCATGTTGAGCAACAGGTATGGAAACTCCAGCGATCAGGAATCATGACTGTTGGCAGAATTGCTCCAGCTGCCCCAGTGTCTTCAGATGCTGCAGTTTCTTCTGCATGGGTAGAAGTCCTGCATTCTAATATACTGCACAGTTCAAGCTGTTCAGGGCCAGGGCAACTGTCCCTATCTTTCACTGAATGGACAGCCCATGTAAGCTGGGATTTCTTTAGTTTGTGACTATACAATTTTGTATTCAGAGTATGATAGACCTGTTGGGATAGGGTTAAAGGCTCAATAATGTAGCACCAGTTGATACAATTAAAAAGATAATGCTTTGTGTTTTCAGAAGATGACATTGAAACAGCATAATCTTAATGCTCAAAAGAGTAAATTGAGAAATCTTTAATAAAAATATTTTTTTTAAAAAAGGTAAATTGTGAAGCCAAAATGAAAGGGTTCTTACCATTTCAGCCATTTTCTCAGCAGGTGTGTTGCAGAGTTCTGTCAGCGAAGAGCCCTTTTTGGGACTGTTAGTGCTGTCAGTGTTTCCAAGCAGGTGTGAGGTCACTGCTCTAGCTAGCTTGTGGTTGACAGCTGCTAATTCTGCTGTACTATGAGGCTGTGCGCTAGGATAATAAGTTTGCTGCCTTCCCCATTGCAGAGAAACCATCAGCTCCTCCAGCAATCTGTATAGAAAATAAAGATAATAGTTTATTTTGGTGACTAACATTCTAGACCACTGTGAAAAGATTTAGCAGGGTAAGGAAGGAAGGTGGGAGACAGCATTCAAATGCAGAAACCACCAGATACAATCTTGATGCTAAAAGGAACATCATACAGTTTCTGGACAAAGTTTCTGATTGGAAATCTTGCATGAAGGACTGGGGAGACCTTGAGCACCTCCAGAGTCCCTTCCTGAAGCAGAGGCTATGACAATGTGTGCTAGAAGAATCCCAAGCCATGAAATGGTATGTAACGATAAGTCTGTTAATTGTTAAGGAGACATAAGAATGCTGTTCCCTACCCTAACCCACAAATATGGATATGAAGGACCCTCAGGTGCAAATGGGGAAGGAGGTGTTAGAAGTTGGGGGGGGGGAATCAAATGTTCATACTTCTGTGCAGCAATCATTTCTTGGCGAAACTGGTCACGTTCACTTAACAGATCCTGAATTGCACTCTGTGCATCTCTGGTTTGACGCTGGAGAACTGCTCTGGAATTAGTCAGCTCATCAGTCATCACTCTGTAGAAGAAATCCCAAATGCGGCTCAGACAGGTAAAGGAATTTATCTACTTAAAATCCAAATTCGTGTTACATTAGCAGATAACTTGCTGTTTACACATGAAGTGGTAATGCCTACAGGATGCACCCTGAATGGCTATAACTGAAAAATAAGAGAAATCAGCTTGTTGATCCGAAGTACGTTATGTTGTTATTATGATACTCTTAGCCTGCTCCCCTGCTCCCCACTCGGGAACACTTATTCTCATAATAACACTGCAAGGTATTTATTTATAATTTAAAGTAACCATTTTTTCGCAAACCATCAGGGCACTGTACAACAACATAAAACAATTTTTTTAAGCAATACAGAAAATTTTGAACAGCCACATAGGCCTGCTGACATAAAAAGTCAAAAGCGAGGATGCCTGTCAAATCTCTGCTGGAAACGTCTTCCATAGGATGGAAATGGTAACAGGAGAAACCACCACCCACTCCCCTCTGGACTGTTTCATCGATCAGGCTAGGATATGAATTAGATTGAAAGAAGGCAGCTTTGAGTCAGTCACCCTGAGAACGTAAATTTGCTGCACTGACACCTGAACACCTTATCCAATGCACCTTATTTACTTTCCTATTGTGCATGGACTTCTCCAGCAAGGTGCAAAACAGCAGCAAGGAGGAGGGGTAATTCTGGCTGGCTACTTCTTTGGGAACCAAACTTCTGAACTGCCTTTTATCTTTGGGGCTGTGGTGGTGCTACTGATCAAGAGCTAACTGAAAAACACTGTTAGGCTTGTGTATCTTTTTATGGTATTTAGAAGAGTAAAGCAAGTCACATCTGGGAATGGAAGGCTGATACTTGGCCTGCAAGGAAAGAGGAATTGTGGATCTGCTGCATAGAAACCGACTGTACTCTCTATTCAATCTCATACGCAAGCCTAAGAGGGAAGCAGCTCGAAGTCAGCAAGATGGGCTAAGTCTATGAGGCCCCCAGTTATACTATTCAAAGTTATATGCAGCACAGGAGCAGCAGTCCTCAGAAAGCCCAGCACTTCTTCCACCTCATCAGTGGCATCTCCAACTGTACTGCTATGCCACTGCTCAGGTCTAGGTTGTTGTGAATAAGACACGAGGAGTTTGACAAGGCTTTCCTTACCCTCAACTGTCTTTTGGCCCTTAGCACCCAAGGATCTATCTTAATCTTAAACAGCCAACAATCCCCCCACAAATAGCTTTCCTGTATCCCACACATGGGATCCTTGCATGTCCTCTAGGGGCCAAGAATGGATTTATGTTCAACTCCAGAACTTCCACTCAAGGTGCAGATTACCAGTTGTAGTTCAGCAACATCTGGTGGGCCAAAGGTTCCCCGCAGCTAATGTATCAAGACAGCCTTTATAAAGTTGCATTGAGGCACAATACCTGCTTGCTAGGAATTTGCTCCTCCAAACATCACACTGTATAGACATCCGCTCCAATTGCTCAGATAATTGAGACACATTTCGCCCTAGGGCCTCATTTTCAAGGATCAGTTGATTTTTTTCACGTGCCATGCGTTCAAAGTGATACTGCAGGTCATCCCCCACAGAAGCAACAAGTAACTTCTTCAACTCCCGATTGACCTAAGACAAGACAATTATTTAACCATTCTTCATGTGTCAACAAGGAATATGATCAAGCTACCCCTGGTTAATATTGAAGCTATCAAGTACAAGATGCTAGAAGGCTCCCCTTCCAAGCTTAGCAG